CCGATGTGGGACTCGATCCCAGGACCCTGGGATCATGACCTGAGCTGAAGGCAGACGCTTAACGACTGAGCCACCCAGGCGCCCTCAAATAAAATCTTAAAAAAAGAATTCATGCTGGTAATTACTATGTTCTTAAGAAAATCAGGTATTCAGAATGTTATTAGATAATTGGAAAGTTCTGGGTAAGCTGAAAGTTTTATGCCTTTGAATAAATCCTCCTAATTGATGGTCTAGCATGTGGCAAGTTATTTACCTGTCAGTGCATTTGTGGCCTCCTCTATAAAATTAATGTTCGACAGTATTGCTTCTGAGTTACAAAACTGCATTTCATTAGGGAACACATATCAACATCACCAAATTCTTCTACTCTCAATCAGGTTCACCTGATTATCAGTGCATTTGAAACTGTTGTGCACCAAGCCCATTTTTTTCACTCAAGTAGGAAAAGCTGCCTTGGACTGATAACCTCAGTGTGAGAGACAGTTGGAGTTACCCTTTTTGAATGTCCCTAGCTTGCTGAAGTCTGCTGGACTATAAGCTGTGTAAAGGTAGGGGCCTTGCCCATCTTGCCATCTGTTCTATCCCTAGTCTCAGGCTGAGTGCCTAGCACATGGATAAGTGCTCATTATTAGTTAAATATTGGTTGAATGCCAACCCTAAGGCATTCACACACATTGTCTGATAGTCTTCACAGCCAACCTTATCATTGCCAACTTTGTAATATAAAATATAAGCCAGCCTTTTGATACAAAAAACTCAGTTTTGTAGATGAGTAAGCTGACGTAGATGCATAGCCACTTGTTCAAAGCCCCTCAGCCAGGCGTAGGCGCTGCCTCCAAACAAAGCCATTCTAAATTTTACCATTTTAACCACTTTGCAGTGTACAGTTCTGTGGCTTTAAGCATATTCATAGCCATCACCATCGTCTTGGCCCCTGCTTTTTTCCTCAGTTACACTGCCTGCCTTTGTTCTTCAGGGTGCTTTTGGTTTAATCTGAAATCAGATTAAAAACTTTTTTTGAGCAAAAACATTGGAGGAACCTGGAAGTTTAAACTTTCAGACTGGGCTGAATACAGAGTCCATGTTCTTCCTTTTCCCATTTCCTCAGCCAGTTCCTTGTCATGTAGAATTTCTTGTTGGCTAATAATAGCTGAGTATGTTGATTTGAACGGGAATACGTGCTCTCATATCTCCTTGTTCTCACACTGAATTGGAGCTGTTTGGTCTATTTCTGCCGTTGCTTGGCCCAGTAAGGCAGTGATCTAAGTGGTCCAAGCGCCAAGAAGCTGTGTACCCACATTTTAAGCTGTGTACCTCCCGAATGGGTTAGAGCACCACTGGGCTAAGTCCACTCTTGGCCTTGTACTTGGGAAATTAATTTGCTTTGTCATCCTCCACTCCTGCTTCCTGCCAGGAGTCCAGTTCACTACTTTCGGTTTCACTTTGGGCTTTAAAAGAGTTTCTTAATCTTTCTGTGGCTGGATTACCTATATAATACAGGTACAAATAAATAGTTTTGTTGGCTTGGCTTTGGGATGAGTTGGACTGTGTGAAACAAGATTGAGGCGGCCAGATCTGTCTAAGTAGGATAGCTGAACGTGTTCATGTTTCTACTGCAGTGGTCTTGAGTCCTTTCTGATATCAGGCAGAGCCAAGTGGTGAAATATGACACATGCTGGGGATGAGAATTGGCAATTGTCCTGAGTGCACAAATAGTTTCTTCCCTCCCAAGCATATTTTACAGCCAAGTGAACAGAAAACAGTTTAGCAGGCTACTTGCTGGAGTTCCTGCAGCAGAAAAATTATCTTTATAAAAGGGTGGACACATAGCTTTTACAAAAAGTTTTCAGAAGAACAAAATACAAACTAGCCTTACTTTTCTTTTCCTCATTTTGTCCCTAATTCCTAAGTGTAAGGCTGATTCCGGATACACTCCTAGGGCCTGTTTGTGGGTGGTTAGAGGCTGGGCGTCTCCAAGTTTGACCAGCCACATATTATTCATTTTGGATCACAGTCAGCTAGAGAAGGAAGTTGCTGGGAAGACTGAAGTCCAAGCCTTCCTATTGAATGGTCAAGCAAATAGGCAGTTTGGCCCCTGGCCCAGCTCTGCTCCATGTCAGTTTTATCCAGCACACATACACCAGGCAGGCAGTTGGTGGTGGTGTAATTCCAGCCACTACTGACTAATAGGACAGGCCACCGTTGCGTGAGGCTTGACCTGAGGCAGCTGCTTGAATATAGCCCTCCTTTGTGGCAGCTGCAACACCTGGGCTGCAGGCAGGCCCCCGGCAGGAAAGTATTTGCTGTTAATAGTATGTCTGTGGCACAGTTATATACCGTCACAGCTTGTTTCCTGCTATGTTTATGCACAATTAAAAACAACCCACTGGATCCATTGGCTTATGGTTGGGTTATGTTTAGAAAAATGCAGCTTGTGTTGTTGTCCACTGTGGGGACTAGAGCTGATGTCACTAGTTTAAGTAAGACCTTAAGAGGAGCAGTTACTGTAATTCCTAGCAATTTCTTTGATCTCTCTAATGAACACAGCTTGCTTAAACCCCTTAGTGGCCTTTGGTTTCTGGCATGGCTGAATGCGCTGTCAATCATGTGTTTCAGTTCAATTAGGGACTCTTGTTTGTGTGCTTGGTAGTTCCTTCTGACATAAGGGGGTTTATGAGTAATTAAAAAGAACACCATCATTTACAAAATGGTGCTTCGAAAACAGAAACTACAAATGGCTCCTAAACATGTAAAAGATACTTAACCTTTTGTGTAACAAGAGAAAACCATTTTAAGGCCTCACTGAGATCTTATTTTTAACCTATCAGATTGACACAAATCCAAAACTGGAGGAACATTGTTGATGAGCAAATGGGGAAATAGACACTCTCATACATTCTTGGTGGGAGCAGTAAGTGTACAACTTTATTTTTACTTTTTTTTTTAAAGATTTTATTTATTTGACAGAGAGAGAAATAGCAAGAGCAGGAGCACAAGCAGGGGGAGTGGGAGAGGGAGAAGCAGGCTTGCCAAGCAGGGAGCCCAATGCGGGGCTCGATCCCAGGACCCTGGGATCATGACCTGAGCCGAAGATAGACGCTCAACGACTGAGCCACCCAGTGTACAACTTTATTGAGGGAAGTTTAGAATATATCTGTTGAAACCACAAATCTATACCCTTTGGCCCAGCAGTAGTATCACTTAAAGGAATTTATCCTACAGATAGACTTGCATGTATATAAAAACAATGTTTGCTTAAGCTTATTTATGGAAGAATTAAAGGTTGGAAACAAGCTCAGAAGTGGACTGGTTACATAAATAATGATATATCTGTACAATGGATACAGCTATAAAAAACAAGATATTCATTATGTATTGACATAGGAATGTCTTCATGGGAATAAAGCAAAGGGCAGTGTATAATATGCCAATAATTGTGTAAAAGGGGGAGAAATAAGAGTATATATTATTTGCTTGTATGTGCATAAGGAAGTTCTGGAAAGATATTGAAGAAAGTAGTATGAGCAGTTACGTGTGTGTGTATGTGTGTGTATAGGAAAGAAGAGATAAGATCGCTATTTTTCACTGTACAAAACTTTTGAACCATCTGCATGTGTTGCCTTTTCAAAAAATTAAATAATTAGAATGTCTTTTAAACTAGAGTTTTTTTGAATTCCAATCATGGTTGTAGAAGAGCACTCTTTTAATTGACTTCCTTACCCAAACTTGCTATCCCTGTGGGTAAGATAGAGATTACCTCATCTTGTTGCTGATGGTGCTCATGTTTCTTACTTTTTATGTGGGCACTTGGGAGGAAAGTGATGCACAAGTTTGTTGGTCTCGGTGTTTTTCTTATTGTTCCTCAGGCAGAACCAGTGGCTCTAAAAATTTATATATCACGAGCCTAAGGTTCTATACCAAACCCTAAGAAACAGGCTTTTTCCATTTGTTTTGAGAATCAAGATAATAGACTCTGGACAGGACTAAAGTAAAATCTTTTGCCTTTTCTTTTTGTTTGTAGGAACCTACAAGCAGCAATTGGCGCCTATTACGACTTTGAGAGCCCAAACATCAGTGTACCCTCTATGTCGTTTGTTGAAGATGTCACCATAGGAGAAGGGGAGTCGATACCTCCTGATACTCAGTTTATAAAGACATGGCGGATCCAGAATTCTGGTAAATGATAATGGGCAGTTCTTCATTGCCCAGTTTTCTTTGTTTAGTAGTTAAAAGAAACAAGGAAATGTTTTAGCTTAAGTTATATGCTTTTGTAACTCTGAGCTTTTTCTTATACATGATGTAGTACTATTTTTTTTTTTTTAAGATTTATTTGAGAGAGAGAAAGCATGAGGTGGGGGTGAGGGGCAGAGGGAGAAGCAGTCTCCCCACTGAGCAAGGAGCCCCAAACGGGGCTTGATCCCAGGACCCTGGGATCATGACCTGAGCCGAAGGCAGATGCTTAACTGACTGAGCCACCCAGGCTCCCTGATGTAGTACTTTTTTGTACTGGTGTGATGAGCAAACATCAGTGAAATGTCCCCTGCCCTAGATCAGGAAAAATAATTTAGATTTTTTTTTTTTAATTTAGGTCTTGATGGCCTCTAAACAATTCAATATTCATTTGATACCAGGAACTAGGCCTGTGTGTGGTGGTGGTGGTATTATCCCCACCTGTACAGTTCTACTCCATCATTTTAATTCTGCTCTAATTAATCTTCCAGTTCTTTCCAGCAGGCTAGAGGAGGTACATCCTTGAATAGAACAAGGTTGTTAGAAAGAGCTGTGAGCATCTGCTCTTTTGAAAGCTCTTTTCTTTGTAGCTACAAGAATGATTCTTTATGAAATTTCATTGAGATATCTCTCTGAAATGTTAATACCACTTTGAAAAATAGGGTAAGAAATGCGGGGATTTGCTCAAAATGGGAAAGATGGAAAGATCGAGAAATTTTTTTGAGGCATTGTTGTAATGTACTGCTGACTTTAAGAAAAATTAAAAATAAGTTAGCGATAGTTCTTTGAAAAAAGGATCTGAATATGTGTCTTGTAACAGTTCATTATTACCTTTTGCTTGTTAAATTCTTTTCTAATGACTTTTTTAATTTGAGTGGGTTTAGAATTGCTTGTTTCATGCAGTAATTATTCATGCTTCTGACTAGATCAGGATGCTTTAACTTCCTTGTTACCGAGGACTTAACAGAGAAATTCTGAAGATGAGAAACTAGGCAGAAGGCGTATTTAGCTAAAAATCTGTGCGTGTGGGGGAACCCTGTCTAGCAGGGTGATCTGATGTGAGGTGATATAAAACTCTCAGGGCTCAAATAAACCTGTAAAAATGACCTTTTATTGACTATGTACTTTTCAATTCTTTGTACTTTAGTTTTTTTATGATGGGGAAAGACTGGCTAAGCTAGCTGTTTATATAGTAATGAATGTACCAAATTGTTATTCTTAGTTTTTCTGACTTATTTAAAAGTAACTCTCCCTTGGATGAAAGTTCAGTGTGTCACTGAGGAAATGCCTATAATCTGGATTGACCCATGGTAGTAGATGACTGGAGACATTCATGGCTTTATAAAATTTTCATTAGCTTCTTTTCCCTTTTGATTGTAACGGTGTGGGGCATTGTTAGTTTGAGAGACACTTGGTAATATGGGAAAATAGCCATGTTTTCTGTTTTTCTTGAAATTGTTTTTTTTTCAAAGCTTAATTATATTTCTTTCCTTTTTGGGGGGCCTGATTTCTTTCTCACTTTTCTTAATGTTGTGGGCTTTTAAAAATATTAAAACAATCTCTTTCTTTTTAAGATTTTAGAATTTATTTATTTGAGAGAGTGTGCAAGAGTGAGCGCACATGGGGAGGGACAGAGGGAGAGGGAGAGAATCCCAAGCAGACTCTGCACTCCGCAGAGCCCAGATGGATGTGGGACTCGATCCCATGATCCAAGATCATGACCTGAGTCGAAATCAAGAGTCAGATGCTTAACTGACTGAGCCACCCAGCTGCCCCTAAAACAGTCTCTTTAGTTCAGCTTCTGTTCATCATGTGTTTTCTCTCAATTACTAAAACCTGCTAAGTTGCTGATCAAAACTGCTTTTGAAACTTACACATGAATTCAATTTTATTTAGTTAAAAAAAATTAAGACCCTGTTTATTTATAGCGAAAACACTGAAAATGGTCTGGCTTTCTGTGAATTCTTTATATTTTAAATATTAAAAGTTCTTAGAGTACCGCTGAAATATTTGAGATAGCAGAAACCATTTTGTATGTCAGAAATCTTCTTGATACATCCGTTCACTCACCAGACAGTTCTTGAGTTAATGGAGGATTGCGAGGGATTGGTATAAAATGGCTAAATGTCAGATCAGAACCCCAAAGAGCCTACCTTTCTTTCACTTTGGAGAAAATCTGTATTGGTGGGGCTGGCTGCTTTTTCCACTTGCTTTTGCGTGGTAACTCCAGTTTAAGACAGCCTCTGGATCTGCAGTCTCTCTTCCTGTGAAAGGCCATTCTTGTGCCTGAACACTTCTTGAAAAGAGTTGGGCAGCAATTGGCTGGAGATTTTACCCTTCAGGTTACTTTGAACACATGGATTTTTTATCCTTTTGGAAATTGTTCATCCATTTTTAAATAGTTTTGTATCTGTAAGCTACATGCTCTCGATTTGATTAAGGAGAACCTGGCCTTCCATAACGAAGTAATAGTTATGTTATTAAAGAGAAAGAGGGAAAGCATGCATGTGTACTGGTTCTTTGGCATCATTCTAATCTGGCCTGAGTTCTTTCTGGAAATAGAGTAACACCGAAATATGGCAGGCCTTAGCTGTTTCTCCTCTGGCTCTTTTACTCTCATTCATAACCTTCTCTTAAGAGATGAGTGCTCACTGAAATAGTTTCATAAATAATTTTCATGGTATTTCTCTGCTGTCATGTTTTAGGCATGCCAGGCATTTGAATATACAACAGATGAGATTGGTAGGAACTGCATATAGCTGTCCCAGCAGTTTCCCCAAAGAAGATAAATGTGTTACACATTGTTTAAAATTCAGCTTTTAAGACCATGGTAAAACGGAAGTCAGACATTTAATGACATAGATGCGGAATCCCAGGATCCAAACTTTTGGCACTATATAAGTTTTAGAAGCTTGGGAAACTTGAACAGGAAACCTTACAATTAAAATTCCCTCAGCTTCTCAGTTGTTACAACCATGCTCTGTTGTCCAACCATAGTGAATGTAAAGCCGAGCAGGTTATGATAACGCTGGTATTTCTTGGACTTTGGTGAAGTAGTTGTGATTGTCATGTGAGAAAGTGGCTTCACAGTCAACTTTATTTTTTGTGAACATAAAGCAAGAGTTGAGAAAACTTGAAAAAGAACAACTGTTTCCTCCATTTTTCTTTTGGCTCCTTAAAATAGTTAATTTCTGCCTTTCTCTTCAGCACGACTATAGAGAAGGTAATTCTGCTTCATCCATTCAGCAAATTTTGTTATATTCCACTCACTTTACAGCAGGTACGGGAAGAAAATAGTGACAAGATCAATGAAGGTCCCTTTTTTTGTCTGCAGCTTAATTGAAATGCAGTCTCCAAACTTCTAGGGATTAAAAAGAACAGGGGATCTTCATCGAGGTTTGTCTTCTTCCTCATCAATCTTTGAATGTTCCTTACTATCTCCCAGCTATTTCTGTAATGACTTACACCTAGTAAGTCCAGGCTTTCTGGAACTGATGAACTTTTATTTCATTTTTGTCATGTTCTCTGTCATCTCAAAATTGCCATATGTCAGGGTTTTTTTGCTTTGTTCTGTTTTTACTTTTTTTTTTTTAATAAAATTATATTCCATGATAATTGGAGAATCACAGCCTTGATCATATGTGTGCTTGTGATACTTGGAAAGTCATAAAACACAGATTAGTCTTTCTTTTCTTCTAAATGTATCTGTCCCCCAGTAAGCCAGTTTGTAACTGAGACTTAATTTGAGGCCCTGTTGTACCAATACTTCTCAAATCCAGATTTTAGGTATGCTGGTGGTCCATACAGCTCAGCAGTATTTACCTTCCTTCTGTATTAAGAACTGGTATCTTGGACCTTCTTAGAGTTGCCGGACTTACTAGGTTGTAAGAACTAAATGTCGTAGTGAACTCTTGGTAACTCTCAGAAAGTGAATGATTGGTTCTTCACTTTATAGCAAATTAACACTTTAGAGTTGATGGTGGATAATTCATGCAATTTTTTCTCCAACAAGCTCCCCAGGCACCACATGAATAGAGTGTCTGTAGTAAAAAAGATCAGGACCTTAGCTGCCTAATTTTTAATCACTTAATGTTTACCAACTAACTCAGTGTCCCTGGAGCACAGCAGCACCCCTTCTTCTGCAGAGCGGGGAGCTCTGACCATCTCGGCTACTTGTGGTTGTGTGCTCGGGATAGCCAGCCACACATTTCTCACACCCAGGCAGTCTTCGTTTTCCTTAATTTCTTAGAAGTTCAAAAACAGACACCAACAGATGTTTCATACCAACAGATGTTGTCTTGTTACAGGTGTTGTGTGTATGTGTGTTTGAAAGAACAATTGTGAATTCAGCCCCAACACAGCAGTTGAATTTTCCTCTTGGATCTTGGTCTCTAAAGAGACTGACATTTTCCAAGGTGCTCCATGCCAGTTGCTGCTGTTCTTGACCTCAGACTGATAGACTTTTGCCAAGCCCGTGGGCCCCAGAAATGCCAGACAACATACAGGTATTGTCAGGGTATCCGCCACAAGCTTTCCACCTGCAGCAGTTGCCCTTTATGGTGTTAACTTAGGATGGCACTTTGCTGGCAGGTGTGTTTTTAAGAGGGTCCGACAAAACATTGTGCCCACTGCTTCATCTGCTACCCCTTAAATCCTAGGAGCCCCGGAGTGTGCTGTCCAGGATGGGGCTGCAGTCAGCAGTAGAGCTGTGGCTGCCTTTCTCTCTGGTTCCCTTGGCAATAGTACGTCCTCAGGTATATCAAAACCAGTCTGGCACTTCGAGAACAAGATACTAACGCGTCCTAGAGTACTCTCAGGAGATCAGTTTCAAGCGTGCTTTGTCCTGGGAGTCCTGCCATGTCCACCTTTTCACGGTGATTAATTTTTATAATGTATAATGTATATATCCCCCCAAAAGATACAGAGGTTTCTATCTACAGTAAAAAGGAGTATACTGGAGAGACTTCACTGGAAAGATGACCTAGAGGCCCTGAGTGGCCCTGTGACTTGTCAGAACGAGTCAATATATGGATTGCTCATTTTGAATTAGTTTACCTAAAAATAGGTACGCAGGAGGAGGTACCCAAATAAGATCTTTTTCACCTCCAAAGGAGGAAAGACATTCCTGCCAATGCCTTGTCCCTATATTGCCATTCCTATCCTTTATACACGTACCTCTGGCTGATGTTATCACCTCTGAGACCACAGTTCAGTGTGCTGTTAGCAGGGGAGTTCATGCCACTGTTCCTATTTTCCCCACTATTGTTTGAACCTGAAAATGAAACTTTCACTTGACTCCTCTGTCTCGTATTTGCAGGATCTCTTGCACTTTGGTCTTTTCATAGTTAAGGATTCCAGAAGGAAAAGTTGTGTATCAGGGAAAAAGTTTTAAAATGAAAGTGATATAGAAATTATTCCTCACGTGTTTCATCTGCTTGCCTTGATAGAAAAACCAGGGGCAATCGCATGTATTTTTACTTAGAATGTCAGCTTAAAAAGTTCCAGTGAAAATGGACATGTGTTACCTCTTAGTGAAGAAAGCAGCCCTCCAAAGATGTGGGTCTGTGCTTCATTTCCACGCCTCTTCGTGGACATCATTCTTAGATTCTACGGATTCAGTGTGATGTGTGGGGTCCCCTGAAACACATCTTCTTGCTTGCCTTGCTTTGGTCATATGTGCCTTATCTTAGGGATAAACAGTTGGTCAGAGGTTGTTAACTCTGATAATTCCTTCTGGTCAGTCTTGTGACATTATATAGCTCAAGGATATGTGGCTAGGTTCACGTATGTGCCAAAGACAGAGAAAGCGGCCTCTTCTACAGTTTTGTAATGAACTGCACCCAGCCTAGGACCACTAATTGCCTAACATTTTTTTCTTTTGCTTGAACTCAGGGGCAGAGGCCTGGCCTCCAGGGGTTTGTCTTAAATATGTCGGGGGAGACCAGTTTGGACATGTGAACATGGTGATGGTGAGATCGCTAGAGCCCCAAGAGATTGCAGATGTCAGCGTCCAGATGTGCAGCCCCAGCAGAGCAGGAATGTATCAGGGACAGTGGCGGATGTGCACTGCTACAGGACTCTACTATGGAGGTGAGTATGTCCTTGTGCAGCCCAGGGTGAAGGAATTAAGGTAACATCTTACAGCATTCCCGGTGTTGCTCACAGAGCCTGTCAAATTACATAACAAGGCGTGGCCTCTTTTAAACAGTCACCCCGAGCAGGTAAATGACTCGAATTTAATGACCATCTAATTGGTTCAGTCTAGTTCTCTCCCTTTTCCACTGGCAGTTTAGTTAAAGTTTAGTGAAGTGTGTGAGAGATCTGTATCTTGCATTCTAAACAGTGACTTGGTAGTGCTGCTCTTTTTATTATATAATCTAGTAGGTGCTGTAAGAATACTGAAGGCAGTCCTTGTTCTCAGAGTCTCTAGATGTAAGTCCTATAAAAAAAGAAAACGCACAAAATGTGCGTACTTCTCCCAGCCGGACAACCCGTCAACACCTCTTTCTCCTCTTTGTTGCCATACTTTTTGAGCAGAGTGAGCTACACTGCCTCTTCTTCCCTTTTTTCATTTGTTCTTCAACCCAGTTTATTCTTTACCCACTCCAGAGAAATGAAAATCAGAGACTACCCAGTTTCCAAATCCAGCAGCCACTTAGTCTTCGTACTAACTGACCCTCTGTCATTGGGCACCATACTCCAAATGTGTTCTGAACTGTGTACCTTCCTAGACTCACATGATAGCTGTCTTGTTTCTCCTCCTCTGAGTGATCTTTCTCTGTCTCTGTCTAGTCTCCTCTTTGCCCCGGGATTGCTAGATTCTGAGCTGGGTCCTGTCCATGCTCCGTGACCTCACCCATCCACATAGGTTCGGCTGTCACCAGTACAGTGCGTGGTAATGTTCAAATTCCTATCTGTGGCTACAGACTCTCTTTGGACCTCCAAACCTGTGTTTTAACTGCTTATGGACAGAACACTTGGACATCCTGTAGATGTCTGAATCTTAATGTCTCTCAGGCAAAACTTAACATTCTTCTCATTAGCACCCCACTGAGGTGATCAGGCAGGAGCCTTGGAGTCATATTTTGTTCAGTCTTAAAACTGTTCTTCATCACAAACCAGTTCTTGTTGGTTCCACTATATCCCGTGTCCTGGTAATCCAAAGAAAAGTAAATAGTAAATAGTTCCAGCCTTGTGGGAACCCTTAACTGGACTCAAGGCCAGTGGGGCCTTTGGAGTGATTTCAAGGGGTCCTGGAATTAATGTTCTTCTATATGTTTTTGCAGCCAATGGAAACTTTGCGTATTTTTATAGCCTTGAAAAATTTTAATGTTAGAAAGGGTGTCTCATAGTGCTTATATGACATCATTCTTTGCCTAAAACCTTCATGCCTACTGTACTGAAGCCCAATTCCTTGGCATGGGGCTTAAAGCTCCTCACGATCTGGCCTCATTTTCACTTTTATCATCAGTCTCCTCTTTACTCCCCCACAGCCGGTCCCCAAAGACACCACATGCTTTCACTTCACCATGCCTTTGCTTGTGTTGTTCCTATTGCCAGAAATATCTTTTCTTTCCAGTAAACTCCTGCTCATCTTCAGGGCCATGATGAAGTCACCATTCCTCCTTCCCCTCCTTGTTTACTCTCCTCACGACCCCATGGAAATTTATCCCTCCTTTTTTCATTAATATTATGCACGGGCATACGTATTATACTTCACACATTGTATTTTAGGTGTTTGTTTACTTACCCTTCTCTCCTGCTAGACTGTGGACTATTTGTTGAATGACAAACGAATGTGCAGTCATGTATCAGAATGCAGAAATGATTTGTCCCTTCCCTTCTGGACTCTCCTTTTCAGGCCACTTTTTTTTTTTTTTTTTTAATTAACATATAATGTATTATTTGTTTCAGGAGCATAGGTCTGATTCATCAGTCTTATATAATACCCAGTGCTCATTATAGCACATACCCTCCCCAGTGTCCATCACCCAGTTACCCTATCCCCCCATGCCTCTCCCCTCCAGCAACCCTCAGTTTGTTTCCTGAGATTGAGTCTCTTATTGTTTGTCTCCCTCTCTGATTTTGTCTTGTTTCATTTTTTTTCTCTTTCCCTATGATCCTCTCCCTTGTTTCTTAAATTCCACATATTAGTGAGATCATACGATAATTGTCTTTCTCTTGATTGACTTATTTCACTTAGCATAATACCCTCTAGTTCCATCCACAGTTTCATTGCAAAGGGCAAGATTTCATCCTTTCTGATGGCTGAGGAATAGTCCATTGTCTACATATACCACATCTTCTTTATCCATTCATCTGTCGATGGACATCTGGGCTCTTTCCATAGTTTGGCTATTGTGGACATTGCTGCTATAAACATTGGGGTGCAGAAACCCTTCGGATCACTGCATTTGTATCTTTGGTGTATATACCCAGTAGTGCAATTGCTGGGTCGCGTAGGGTAGCTCTATTTTCAACTTTTTGAGGAACCCGCATACTGTTTTCCAGAACAGGCCACTCCTTCTAATAACTTTTGTATCTGCACAGTTGGAAGTACAGTTGACCCTTGAACAACATGGGGGGTTAGGGGTGCTGCACAGTTGAAAATCCATGTATAACTTTTGACTCCCCAAAAACTTTACTAATAGCCTTGTTGACCAGAAACCTTACCAATAACATTAACAGTTAATTAACGCATATTTTGTAGTTATATATATTATATACTGTGTTCTTTTTTTTTTTTTTTAAAGATTTTATTTATTTATTTGAGACAGAAAGAGAGAGAGAGCACATGAGAGGGGGGAGGGTCAGAGGGAGAAGCAGACTCTCTGCCGAGCAGGGAGCCCGATGCGGGACTCAATCCAGGGACTCCAGGATCATGACCTGAGCCGAAGGCAGTCACTTAACCAACTGAGCCACCCAGGCGCCCCTATATATACTGTGTTCTTACAGTAAAGTAAGCTAGAGAAAAAATGTTATTCAGAAAATTGAGAGAGAAAATACATTTACAGTACTGTCTTGTATTTATTTAAAAAAAAAAAATCCACATATAAGTGGACCTGTGAAGTTCAAACCCACGTTGTTCAAAGGTCAACTAGTTACTTCCACTGCTGAGCTCCCATTGCATTTTCTTCTTTTTCTTTCCCCCATTGCATTTTCTCTGCACCTCTCACTCCCTTGCCTCTCTTTGGCACCTTACCTCTTTCTACCCAGTTATTTGACGAATGTCTGATACACCTTTAAAACTTAAGGTGATACATGTCTTGTTTATCTTTGTAACTTCAAAAAGCTGAGCCCAGTGCAAAGTGGAGATTTTTTTAAATGAATGTCAGTGTTTTTAAGGGAGGGGCATGACCACATACATGACTTAAAAAAAAAAAAATCCCTTTGATGCAAAAATATTGCTTCTTACTGTTTTCTAGAGTTTGAGAGCTCTGGTCATGTGCGCGCACACGTGTGTGTGTGTGTTTCAGTGTTAAGATCAATATAATTATCACTATATGGGCCATTAAAATTTATACTTGTAACATCCCCCTCCAAGTCTAGAAGTACGTAGAGTATAAAATATACTAGCTTTGGAGGCAATAAAGAATTTAAAGCCTTGGTTATATAATCTGTGAGTCGTTTCTCAGGATTTTGTGAAATCTAACACCTTCAAGAGATCTTAATAATTGATCTGGTTCCATGATTTTCAAAGCATTTTTTTTTAAATCAGTAGAAACCTTTCCTTTATAAGAGCATATATGAATGCCCCCTCAAAAAAAGGGAAAACCTAAAAATGAAACTGGTTTTGTTGAATTGGGAGCCTCCTTAACCTGTGTTGCCTGCTCTGATGACCTGTAGTGCTGGGTGGTGCAGTTTGCAAACAGTTCATCTTCTCTAGTAAAGAATTTAATTCCATTGTACAAACTACTAATTTCATTGAATCCAGATTACTCTTGATTATAACACATCCTGATAGCAGAGATGGTAAATTGCTGGCAGAATCCGAATATAGTATACATAAAACCACAACTATGAACATGTAAAAGAAAATAAGCTGCCTTGTTAACTGTGATTGGCTTTTCTCAGTTTTTCTATGAAGTCTCACCTTGCAAGCTCATAAAGTGTGGTGTAGTGGGAAGAGTTTGGAAAGTAGGCTTAGGTTGCCTGTGCACAAATTTGGACAAGTTAGGTAACTACTCTGTGTCTCACCTTTCTGTCTTAACAACAAAGCTTGTTTCTTTTGTTTTTGGTGGGTGGTCTCCTCTACAGTCTTTAGATGGTCTTCTGTAGAAAGAATCATTTTCTTTATTTTTACACTTATGTTTCAGTTCATTTCTGTTCCTCAAAAGGAATTTTTGCTGTATTTAATAATTTATAAAGTGGGTCCCCTTCCCCCATTTTAAATTGGTGTGCCCTCTCAGAGTATCTCAGGAGAAGTGCTCTTGGCATCTTGTGTGGACAGTTCTCCATTATGTGGGACATGTGTATATGACCCTTGGCCCTCTCTCACTAAATACTTTAGCTTCTATATTCATCTTTACTGGCAACTCTCTTCTTCCACCACACGTTTCTAACCACCTTGGTTAAATACCACTAAGTATCTGATTCCTGGCAGATTTATTTTCAAGCCCAAACATTTTCTTTTATCTTCTTTTTATAGACTTTTGCTTCTTAGGTAAAAGCTACCTGTTATCTGATATCTGCTGTATGTCAGGCACTGTATTGGTCTTTGTACATATAAATTACCTTTTATAAAGGAAGTATTGGCTATATTTTATGGATGAGGAAACTGAAGACCAGAGATAATTAATAATTTGTCTAGGGTTCAGTAAAAGTTAAAAATTCATTATAAATTATTATAAATTAAGAAAAGTAGTTTTATGACCTTTGTGATTAATTTGGCCCTCACTACTACATGGGGCTTACAAGGAAACTTTGGCTTCAGGGTATGGATACTTGTCAGGGCTTAGGGAGGGTAGGGTATATAGTCCCCAGGTCTTCTCTACATTTCCATAGTAAGTTAGGAATGAAGTGGGGTTAATATTGGTGAGGCGACTCTTAGGTAGTTGGGTAAATATCAGTGTTCCACAAGGAGTTCCTGC